TTGACGCTAGCTTGAGTTACTTTACACGAGACAGAATTCATATAAAAACCGCAACACGCATATATCTCGGTTCATACAGGTGATCTTTGAATGCTCTAGAAGAAAACTTCCGTGAATTCATGCACGGTAGTATACTTCAAAACAAGACAGTTTAAACTAAGTAGTAACCATTTCTATATCTCGAAATTTGTATTTTTCTCGAGAAATATGGCTTTTTCACCAGGAATGGATTTTTAATTGTGGATGCAGTGCCAATAAACACAACACTCTCATGATATCATCATCTTCTCACTCTTATTATGCTTTGTTTCTTATTTCTTTTTCGTTATCATCTCTCCTTCTTTCTTGTTTTCTCTTGATCATTCTATAATTACATTCTAATCCGTTTACAGTGATACTTAAACTCATTTTTCTTTTCGAACTACTGATTTGTTAGTTTACGCGTATTTTTCAACAATGAAAGATCTCTTACGTGTGGTAGGCTGTTGTGTAGTTGTTGCAGCACTCGTTGTTTGCGCTAGAAAATAAACATGAATACAAAAAAATGAAACAAAGACGAAGAATAATAATTACTCGTAGTATTCAATGCAGCAAGAAATGCAACAAACAGATTGGGCGCTGGACCAAAATTTCGTAGGGAATATGTAATCACATACTCTTGTTGTGGAACAGTGGCAAATGTTTGCCATAAAAAGTCATATGGCTGATGACTACTATCAACGAAACTGTAATTACCAGTTTTAGTATCACCCCGCTGAACTGTCCCAGCTGAGTATGTACTCGATGGAGGACACACTGAAAATGGAGCCAGTGTTCCAGTTTCGAATCCACCATTAGCAATTAAATTAGTAGTAGTATTGAGACGCGTAACAGAAATATCATCTAGTGCCCATTGGCTTTTATAGTGAACAAATGCAAATAACAATGTTGTCCGATCAGATAATGCACGATATGTTTGCTCATAGCGTGTATAATTAAATGCAGTTGCATTATAAAGATAAAATAGGTATTCATATTTCACGATGCCAGTTGGACATGATAACAATGAGCTTTCTATATAATACGAAATATTTAATATCACTGTGAATGACTGAGAAAGAATCAAGATATCTTTTATATCGCAACCATTAATAATGTGCGTTTAGTGCTGATTTCTGAAGAGTCATCGAAGCCGGGCTTCATCAAAAATCGTAATCAGCCCTCTGTTTCAAAGAAAAACTTTCAATCTACTGCTCATTAATGACATTCTATTCAGTTCCCAGTAATAAGTGATCAGCCTATATCGACTATAAGTTATATTCTTTCTAATAAGAATCTCTCTGTCTATATTTATCTCTTACTTGTGGTGGACGATGGTGTATTTGTTGCAACAAGTACTGCTTGTCCTAGAAAATAAACATATGTGATAAGGATGAATGGTGAATTATATAGACATTAGACTTATTTTCGAAGGGAGCACAAGATTCGATGAAACAGATAATTTCTAATGAACAGTGATGTTCAACAGGTTCTCAATGCAGTACTATTACTAAAATTACTACATTGCTAGCTACGATTTTCAAGGCAATAGACTTAAATATGGACGACTGAGTTCTCGAAATTTAATGCAGATTAGTATTAATCTAGTGCTATGCTAGATACATTTTACTTCACGTGAGAAAACTCATCTGAACTCTGATGGATGATATTTCAGTGCTTGAGAAAAAACTCTCGGAAGGAGATTAAGTTTAATTTATTTCAAAATTAATAATAGTTTTTGCTTTTGAACGATTTATAAATCAGCAAATTGGTATTTATGTGAAGAAGAATAGGGATTTCCCACTAAAGAATGGATCTTCTTGTGTCAGTATATCATAATAGAACCATTAAGTATTATTCATCGGCATCTTTTGATACGCAACAGATTCTCTGCACAAATAACTGACCTGTATTCTTCCACGTTCGAGAAAATTCTAGTTTGTACGTACGTTTTTTCTTTTGAAACTTGTAAGAAATCACAATTCAGCTTATCGACAATAAGATACAGAGCAAACAAGTAAGCATATATGAAAAGGCATGGAATATTACTATATTTTAGTTTTCAAAACTTTTTCGAATTCTTGAAACACGAACGATTCCGGTGTCGATTTTTTTAAGTATTATAAAAAGCTTGTCTCATAAAATCGTAATCAACGTCTCATCAGAAATTTAAAAAAATAGAACTTCGATCTGCTCTTTAATAGCAGTCTAACTAGTTGACAGTGATATTCAATGTTATCACTCTGTCTGAGCGAGTTGCTTCCTCGTTCACCATCGGCTTCCTAAGGATAAATATTTGACATGAATAATTATCATCTATTGATGATATGTTATAATATGCTAAGCTAAATCAGTATGAGATATCATTCAACTATGAATCATGCTCGAATGTTACATTGTGACAGTTTTCTACGACAAGTTTTAGAATGATGTATTAGAGTCGCGTATCCTTTCTTAATTTCTTACTTGGAATATTATTCTCGGTATTTGTTGAAGCAACCCTTGTTTGTCCTAAAAAATAAACAGATTTGCAAAGAATGAGACATGAGTAAAACCAACCAAGCTATCACCTGAAGTATTCAATGCACCGAGATATGCAAAAAATGCATTGGGTGCTGGACCAAAATTTCCTAGTGAATATGTAATCACATACTCTTGTTGTGGAATTGAGATGAATGTTTGCCATAAAATGTCATATGGTTGTTTATTATCATCAACGAAATAGTAATTACCAGTTTTACCAGAACCAAAAGGAAGTGTTCTAGCTGAGGACGAAGCCAATGCACGACACAATGAAAATGGAGCCAGTGTGCCGGCTTCGAATCCACCATTCACAATTAAATTGCTAGTGGCATTGAAGCGCGTTACAGAAATATCATCTAGTGCCCATCGACTTGTATAATGAACAAATGCAAATAACAATGTTGTTCGATTAGATACTGCACGATATGAGTGCTGATAGTGTGTAAAATCAAAGGCGGTTCCATTATGAAGTTCAACTAAGTAGTCATACCTCATGATACCCGATGGACATGCTGCCGCTGGATCTACACAAAAGAAAATAATTTATATTATTATGAAGAGCTGCAAAAGAATCATAGTATCTTTCATGATTCCTGATGAATGCAGATTTCAAAAGATTTTTTCACATTTTATGCAAATATTCGACGACAAAATATTCTATGGACCATAAAAAAAAATTTTTTTTTCAGTATATTGCAATTTTCCCGGGATTATTTCAACGAAATAGAAGAAATCATATTACTGAAAAATTCGACGTTTGATTCTGTACAAAATTGACTTTCACTGAATCCAGTTGGTAAGGGCTATTTGTCAAGGCATCATGAAAGTAGTCTGCTTAGAACGCAAGAGTTTAAAAGGATACGCTTAAAGTGCATTTTTGCAGTATTATTTTTACTCTTGTCCTTAGTGTTCTGTTCAATAGTTAAACGGAAAATAGTGAGCATAGTAATCTTCCATCGTTAGAGGGATTTTCCAGCCCGTCTACTAGAAGAGGTGACGATAGAATTCTAAATTCGTTCATATGTAACCCTGAAACACATTATAAATACGTCTAAATGAGTTTTTATTTCAATTGACGGTACTTTAGCGTAACTTATGGTTTGAAGGTGCTTGAAACGTACTGAATTGAGTTTATCTTAATTCTTTCAAAAGTATTGTGCATTGTCTATATAAATTAGAAGAAGTTACTTTACATAAATGCGTCTAAACGAGTTCGGATTGGCTATGAAACGAGTTGAGATGCAACTGCTTTTATTTTTGCACCTAACCGTGTTTATAAATGCAGCTAATTTTTAGTTGAATATGATCAGGTGTTTCCTGACGATGACATACCACTCAGATGAATGTTAACGCGTTTCTCACTTTTTACGCATCTATCTGCATATAGTGCTGTAGGTTATTTTACTGAGGTGATTATAAATCTAAGTAGACACAGTTACGAATCTGACTATATACATTTCGCTCAAAAATTGTTAAAATTCTTTTACGAACTATTACAAAAAGGCAATTAACCTTATTGTACTCGTAATAGTAATGTCTATTCTATATAATGAATCTTATTAAAATGTGCCCTACTATTTTACTATGTAAAACACCAGAGAAAAATATTCATCTATCAGAAAAACTTCTACGAAGTATGTATATCAGTCATTCTTTTAAAAAAAAAATTTTTATAGTTTATGAAATATGAACACGTCAATAAGAGTCTGATTTTGATAAGTATAGAACTTTCGTTCAGTAATAAAATTGAAGTTATATTATTACTATTCTTTTAATGAAATAAATTCCTTTATAACGCTTATTCTTTAGAAACATAATTGTATGTGAAATTGTATCACGTATTCTTTTTAGATGAAACTAACAAGGAAGAAAGAAGAAACTATTTTCAAGTTCATATGACAATGAAAGAAAATTTTCAACCAACATGTAAAGCCCAGTAGTAACCGTGTGCATTTATATACAACAATTAAGACTGAGCTGCGCACACATGTAGCTAGTTATTTTTTTTACAATACAAATACGAATAGAATCTAAAATACAGAAAATAGCACTACGATCAACTCATTCGAACACTAAAAAGCCAAATGGATTCAAAAAGCAAATCTAAATGTTTGATATCAATTTAACTATTAACAATATTTCTGTAATTTGTATAGAAGAGTTTCTTTTTCGATTACAAGAGTCTCAAAATTGTCGAGTAAAACGAAATACCTATTCCATCTTTCCAGTAGATATTGAGAAAATACGAAACGTGATAGATTTATTTTAACCGTTATGAAGAAACATATTCATGTTTGTCTCAGTGTGTGGAACTGACTGGTCAGGTTCGGAAGGGGAAGGGATGAGGGGCGGAGAGAGAGAGATGTTCACTTTTCTCTCTTCTTACTTCAGCATTCATTGAAAAAGGTGCTTCACGATTATCTTTAAATTTACTTTGTGTAGTCGTTTGTGTTGTTGCACTTGGCGTTGTTGTTGTTGCAGCAGTATTATTTGATGCCAATGTTAAATCTTTCATTAATAATTTTAACCATTTAGTATCAGTATACAGAGCTGATGATGGACTCATCTCTTGTGATATTAATGTTTGAGTTAATGATTGTACAGTTGGATCTGAAGTAAGAGACTTGACTGATGGTAATAACGCTGCAATAACTTTTGTAACAGATTTTCCTGATTTTTGATCAAAATAAGATTGAACTCCATTTAACAATACTCTTGTTGGATCAATCTTTAGAACGTTTCCTAAATCGAATGTCAACGATGGCTTGAAGTAGTCCAAAAAAGATGAAGATGTATCGAGTGGTATATCTAAATAAAGATTAATCGACTGTGGACTATCCGTTCTAGACGACTTAAATAAACAACCACTTAATAATTCCCATACAATATCGGATATCAATGGTTTTTCATAATGTGTGTCAGCAAAATATTGAATTATGCTATTTACGGGACCTAATGTGATATCAAATATTAATAATGTATTTCGAAGACCAAATTGAATATGATATTGTAAAAAATGTTGTGAAATGCATGCATCCGATGGATAACTAAAATGAAATAGAGATGGATTTGCTAGGTCGTAATTGTAATCATAGGTGCTTAGAGCAGAAAATGGTGGATATTGAAATTCATTTTGAAAACTTAGAAAACCTTCTGTTGTTACACCAACTGACAATACTACAGCTCCAATTCTTAATGTTGGCCTTATGCCAACATCAATTGTAAGTTTTGCTTTAAGTTCTGCTTGTATTGGATAATAATCTCTCTGTACTGACCAAGAAACACTAGGTGCTTTGCTAGAACCATAAGTGACCAATTGAATATTCGTATCTAATGTATATTTCAAGCCTGCAGATACTTGACCTAGTGCATCTAATTGAATTTTATAGGGTAATTCCATTTCAAGAACAAATCCTAAATCAAATGAATAGCCCAATACAGTAAATCCATAACCATATATAGGGTATTTTCCCAATGAGATTTCACCTGATTTTGTATAAATATAATTAAATGTTAATAATAATTCCAAATTGATTGTTGTTGTTGATACTAATGTAACATTCATTTTGCCAAGTTGACCACCACTTGCTAAAAGATCCAAACGAAAAATACTATAATCATACTTCATATAGCAATTTGCGCATGTTATATCAATTGACATTTGACGACCTTCACCACATAAACGTGAAATAATACTGGATGAAGTTGATGAACAATCCATATAAAAAATTTGTTTTTGGCTCTCCGCTCGATCATAATAGCTATTGTAATTCCATCCACCAACACGATGTGCAGGAATTTGAAAGTATGGACCATCTACTGAACACCAATATGGCCACCAACCACACCAGCTGTATTCATAATAAAAGTCTGCACTTAAAGCATCATTTGATGGTATTTGATCAAAACAAACACCCGATGTTATATCCGTGCATGATGTTGCAGTCTGAATTTCTGCATCCAGCCATAATGGTCGATGACGTTTCAATTTAACTTTAAAATATTTGTTATACGAGCTGTCATAACTGTTTTGCCACCATGAAATTCTAGCCGTATCACCTGGAGTAAAAGTATCGTCTTGAGCTGGTGATGTTGGCTGAAAATTGCTTGACGATGCTTTCCCAATAGATTGTTTCGTTGTAGATTTAGTTGTCGTAGTTTTACTCGTACTCGCTCCATTTGAGTTTTGTTGATTAGGGTATTCTTGTTCCGATGTTAGATGCATTGCTAAACTTTCAAAACAGACAATTGGTGTAATGCTTGTATCATTTGTTATATTAACAGTTATTAGACTCTTGTTCAATATAAATGTACTTGGTATAAGTTTTCTCATAATTATCATTGGTTCTCCGGTTGTTGAATTTTTACAATCCCATTCTTTTCCACCATTAATAAATGAAACTTTTCGTTCAATCCATTGTTGATATGCATAAGCACTGTTAACTGCAGTATCAAAAGTCATTTCAATGCTATTATTCATACATTTTACAGATTGTAAAAATCGAATGACATTGAGTGCAATGCATGATGTTTGATTTACTTTCGCTGTTGTATTTAATACAACAGCTTTAACTTGATCAATATTCATATATTTTGATGACGTAGTCGGTGTAGCTTTGGCTTGTTTCAAAATCTTTTCCTTTGTGACGTTTACTTTATGTTCGTGTGTTTCTGTAGATACCGGTAAACCAGTAAGTGGATCTGTAATTTTATCGTCTGATACTTGAAATAATGTGTCGAATGTTGGTCGTGCACATGCATTTAAATGGATTAGATTGAAAAATATAAAAACATAATAATATTGGGATTTTATCCAAATCATGATGAATATTGTTTGATTTCAAACTGAAATATTAAGAAAACATAGAACAGCCTTTTTTTACTTGCATTCTTTTGAAAAGTTTCTTTTCTTTTTTTTTTGTATAAATCACGGTTCACTAAAAATTAGGGCATGACAGCTGAGCCTTTTCTACATCAGAGCAATCCAGCGTACAAGTTTATAGGCTAGAGCGTAGGAATCTTCTCTTCGCCCATCCATGCCGCCTCTCCAAGCAATGGTTCGTTCTATCTAATATTCTTTCAATGAATAATATATTTCTGTATGAATTTCGGTTCTTATTAATTCATCAAATTACGAATCGATACAACAGCGTGAAACGAAACAGCATGCGAATATAGTTTGGGTTGCGAAAGTACCAGCTGGGCTTGTAAAACTAGCAGATATTTGAAAGTCAGCAAGAACTTTACTGTAATTTCGAAGTAATTCAAGTTGTTTGTTTTTCTTAATTTTGAGCTCAATTATTGAAGGTACAACTATCGTGGCATCGAAACGCACACATTAATGATTGTATTACTAATAACAGGTAATAATGATGTCCTTCACATCTATGCTTTGCTTTATGAGGGAACCAATCAAATGAAAAAATGCCTCGCTGAAATTACTGCAGTATTTTAGTACGGATATGCACAAAAATTCCGTAAAAGAGGTCAAACAGTGTACTGCATCATTCCTTTTCTCCTATCACGCTCTACCGTATACTACAAGATAAAAAATAATCAAGTTTTTTCGATTTTTTAGCAGAACCACAAATATCTACGTGAAACACGATTTGTCATTCCCAATGCTAAAGCTATCTTCAACGAAAATTTAGTGATTTCTTTTCTTTTGTTATACAAGGTAATCAAGCTATACTTTAGATCAGCAATAGTAGAAGGGTGTGGAGTGTGGGGTGTGGGTGTGGGTGTAGGTGGCGTGGGTGTGTATTTTCGTTTCACACACACACACACACACCCACACCCACCCATACCCTCCAGCTAATTTTCAGTCGCTGATGATGATATACTTTATGAGAAGTGCCCAGACTATGAATCCATTGAGTTGAAATTAGTTGCTTAAATGGATTCAACTTCTTATTTTAGTATTTAGTTGATCATGAAAGGCGTTTCTGATCACTAATAGAAGTCTTGCTTATGTTAGCTGTTTTTCTTTCGTTCTAACTGAACCAAATCTATAATAAAAAACTTCGGTTTATCTCGAGTTCTGTACTATACTCGTACAACCAATACAATTAGAGCAATAGAATGATCACCGCCCACATAGACACCGTAAACAGTACTAAGCAACAGAGCCCGAAATGAAACGAGACAATATTTTGAAATTTCCAATCGAGCACAGTTGAGTCAAGATAAGAATGATTTCAAACAAAGTGATTGAGAGAGTTACGTCTCAATCAATTAGACCACATCTTTCTTGTTGACTCAAATTTTTTTTTCGTAAAAAGTGAATATAGTATAGTTGGTCAACTTATGAGGCTTTCAGGAAAGTAGTCTAAAATCAACGATGTTTGAATATGACATAAGAAAAACTAGCAGTGCGAATCTCAAAAACAGAAGTTGACATCAAAAGAGCATAAAATGAATGAAAAGACTAGCAGCCTTCACATTTACCAGTGTCTTCAGAGCAGATTTCTGCATCTCTACTCGACTTCAAGCACTTCCAATATCTCAACATCAAACGATACAGAGATACCGTGATTACTCTATTGATTCCGTCTCATAATACTATCTATTCATGATCTGTTCTCTTTCTCTTTCTTATTTTTCATGCTTGATTGATATATCATTTCTTTTTTTCTGTCAATCACATCATATCAATTTTCTATCTCCTATTCATCATCATCCATGGAATTTCGCAACAAACGACATTCAATTTGCTAATAATTTTCCTTCAGTCTTCCGAGTTAGTCACATCAATGATTCACATGCTTCTACTAGTCGTACTTCTTATATCCTAGCTACTTGTAGGCGAAGAAAGAAACAATGTATTTGAATACTATGCAATTCTTAAGAATTAATCGAAGTGACCAGGAGTACCTTAGAATACTACAAAGTATCAGCAGTATCAAGTACGATGTCACTCACCCAACGGGTGAGGGAGAAGTATGAATCGCTACTATATGAACAATATTAAATACTAGATAATCGAATTGAGTTGAATGGAGACGTTCTGATTATAGGATCCTGCAAAGAATGTTGATGTATATGTAATGAAGCCATCACAAATTTGAGATAAACTATTCAACAAAGTCGATTGTTTTTTCTCATGCAGTTACTTTTTCTGTAGTTATAACGAGATATGCATCATTGTCGAGTAACGCATTATCTCTTGAACGACAGATCGATATACTAAAAATGAAAGTGTGATCATTTGTCTAACATTTGATACGCCTCGAATTGTTTTTTTAAATCGTATATTTAACTTCTATTATTTCGGGACAATTTCAAAACTCACCAATGCCTTTTTTAATTTTGTAACTAAACACATAGAAGATCTTTGTTTCAAATACTCACCTTCGCCTGGTCACAGCCACACAATGATAGACTCGTCGTCAAATGAAAATTGACTGTACAACACTGCTGTCTCGCCAGTATAAATAGTAACCAATTCTCTTTTCTTTCTCTCTCTCGTTTGTTGTTTACATGGGAACTTTCACCTTTGTTGACAGAGAAAACTCCAATGACGACAGCAAAACAGAAGAAAAGCTTTTTTTATCGTTTCATTACTCAATCAAAAAAAAAAACATTTCGAGAAGGGTCATTCAAATTTATTTTATTTCCGTCAGCCGATGGTTTCGAGTAATTTGATCTTAGCATCGTTGTTTATCAATCTTTTTCAAAACTTTTTAACTAAATTAATCAGTGCAAAAAATTCTACAAGACACATATATTCTGTCTAAAACTTTTCGAAGATCTTGGTGTGTTTTTGATTGACTACTCGTGTTACTACACGAACAGTATCTTTCCTAGAAAATTTTGGGTCAGCAAAATAGAAATAATCTAACTATAGAAGTGTGTAATCTGAAAAGAACTATCGAAATCATTAAATGAAACTTTGTGATCAAGTCTTTTTTAAATGAGAGTTGGTCGATCAGAATGTGAGTCACAAATGAAAAATGAGAATCAAATTCATGTTTGCTTCTTAATGAACTATTTGATGTAAGTATATGTGTCTATCAAATATTTTATAATAGTTTTGCATAGAATTCTTTACTTTTTTCAAAGAAGGCCGCAGGAAGCTTGCTGGTTCAAATTTGATTTACTTCAGATCAATGCGTGGTCTTCATAGATTCGGCTGATGTATGGTAACAATATCGTGCACTTATGTACCGTAGAATCGTTTCAAACGTTAGCACGTAGGTGGAACTTATCATCGAATGATGTGACATCTTCTTCTGTATCAATATTAAAAGTAGATGAATATGTGACTTTATGAGGCCTTGTCTTTTTATCGAAATCGACTCTTTTTCAAGAAAAAATTGAATAAGTTTAATTTTATAGTTTTTCTACTTCGATTCAATATGTTATTTTGTAGAAGTTAATTGCATTTTCTCTTCGAGTTCACAAGAGATCGATCGATTTTTAGTTATTTTGCCGAATGAAACGCATTGTATAGAAATCGGACGTTGTTTGTGGCTAACAATAAGGAAAATACACAGAAGACAGAATTCAATAATATTTAGCTTCCTTGTCTCATTCATGCGATTAGACAATTTTGCTTAACTTTACGTGCTTCTGCTAGTAAGTTTTTTTTGTTGAGCAGAAGTTTGTCTGGAGATTTGAGGCCGTTGCTCAAAATAACCAGAGTATTTTGATCCTAATTGAACTGATCAACAATAAAAAGCGAATCATTCTAAAAGTTTTGCCGACGTAATTAGTTGTTTTTCTTCTGTATCTTGAATTCAGTAGAACGAGCTGTGATTGATGTTTGAATGTTTTCGTTTGCTCGATGCATTCTCCAGTAAGAAAAGTACCTACAAATCTGTTTATCATTGCAAGATTTTAATGAGTGAATTTCTTCTCTCCAATCAATGCTCCGATACAAAAATAGCCTTAAGAGTTGCTTGTTATTACAAGATATTGATTGGTGTATGTTTTCTTTTCGATTAATGTGCCATCACAAGAAAACCTTATAAGTTGCTTATTACATATCGCCATTTGAAATGTGAGTTTTTCCCTTGAACTGATGCTTCAATGCAGAGAAGCTCTTAAAGTTGCTTATAATTACCAACATTCGATAAATGAGATTTTTTCTGTTCGACAAATGTTGCTATGTATGGCGGTGTGAGTGTAAGCGTATAGAGGTGGTATTGCTACTTTCGAAGCCATAAAGACAACACTCTCTCCCACCCCGTACTGACATCCACATCATATGTAAAAGTAAAAAGCTAACGCGCAGTTGTTTTTCATTTTTGTGCCTTCTTTTCAGTCTGATCTCACCTTTGACAATATTGAAGTGTACGTTTTATATAGTTGGCTCTAGATGAGAAAAACACGTCTTTTGGGGATTTTTCTCTTGGAAAAAATGCTGGTCATGTATTGTGCAGTTGGAATCATAGTTACGGAAGTCAGTTTGTGTGGGTGTGAATATGGATGTGGTGCGTGTGTGGTGGGGATGGTGGATGGGGGTGAAACGAAAATGCACACCCACGTCACCTACACACACACCTGCACCCACGCCCACACCCACACCCACACCCACCCACACACCCCCATCCCACACCCACACCCTACACCCCCACCCACCCCCCACCCCCACACCCCACCCCCCCCCCCACCCCCCCCCCACCCGTATC